CCCAGAGAAAATTCCAGGGTCGACGTTGTTTTGGAAAACTTACACACCGAAGCAACACTAACTTTAGTGACCTCCGATTGACGTAACAGGGTGTCATTACCGGCAGCGTGAATAACAATCTTACTGTATTTACGCTGATCCTTAGCCAGCAGTTTCAGGTAGGATTTGATGTCGCCCGTTCTGGCCCCTGGCAGACATTTGACTATGGTCGCTGGTGTCTCTAGGGCCACGTTTCTGACTATGGAGCTGCCAATTACCGGAGTTGGTTTCTCAGCGGGTGTGTCACTGAGCAGGAAAATCTGTAAGAAACTGTTAAAATTTGTTATGAGTTTGTGTTTGATTCAACTCTGGTTTATTTGGTTCCCCTGCACACGCTGGCAGTTTATCTCTTATAACATTATTGATAATCCGTAGATCCGTTTCTAGAAGAAAGTTTTCTTTTGACATTATAAAGTATCTCCATATGTTTGTGGTGCCATTTAGCTTTTATGTACCATGCAGTTCATTCAGATCCATCAGAAATCTGTTCTTCTAAAAACTCTTCACCCAGTCCAATTCCTATGTTGTCTATGAGCCTTTATCTAGAAAGTATGAGGATATAATAAATATAAGCTTGACTGTTTATCATAAATCTGTTTTTAGTCCAGTTGACATAGCACAAAACATCCATGAGTCAGGTTTAAATTCATCTACATACAGTCCAGTTCCTTCTGGATGTAAACGTTACAGTGAGGTAAAAAAATTGAATTAAAAAAATCATCTGTCTTTGTGTAGACCATCTCCAGTGCAGGCTGCGGTGCCTCTAAGGTGTGTATCAGTCAACCTGCAGACTGTGATCCGGCCAGCAGTTCCCAGTGTTACTTTATGTCAGCCAGGGTGCTCTCTCCTGGTGGATCTGCTGTCCGCTATGAGATAACAGGAACCGCTGATGGATATGTGGCCTTTGGATTCTCAGATGATCAGATGATGGTAAGGGAAATAAAAAGTGTTGATAATCTGTTATTGGTTAAAATACAGAACTCGAATGTTTAAAGCATTTTGATCATGTGCAGCAACAGAATTTAAACAGCTGAGTATAAATGGTTTGATCAACAATCACCTTTTCACACTACTACAGTAGCTGAGAAGGGTCATATTTTTGGGACCAAAAACAATGGTTTATGTCTTCTCATCATTAGGCTAGAAGAAATTCTGACCCATCAAGTTATTGATATTATCAACACACTGACTTAGTGAGTTTAGAGGACTAAGGTCCTGCAGTGACCAGAGATAAAGTTGTGTGTTGTCAGTAAACATGGTAGGAAATGCTGTAGCACTAAAATCTGGATCACACAGATGTTAAAAGAAGTGGACCAAGAATGGACCTTTGAGGAATCCTGCAATTTATTCTTGTTTGTCTGGATTTATATTTACCAAATGACACAGAGTAAAATAATGGACTGAACTTATATAGCACCTTTCCCGTCATACTGACCACTCAGAGAGCTTTACACTAGAGCCATGTTCACCCAGACGCACTCAACCATACACAGATACCCAGGTTGGTTCAGGTTAAGTACCTTGCCCAGGGGCACTCTGACATGTAGCAGGAGCAAGCTGGAATTGAACCCACAACTATTGGATTGCAAGACAACCATTCTTCTCACTGAGCCACAGTCTCCTTTTGATCTGAGTTCTACTGAAAAAGATCTGAAGCAGTTTAATAGAGAAGCAAGCCATCTCGTTTCATTTTAGGCTCATTTTTGATGAACTGAGAGAGAGCCGGGCTATAATCGTACAAACATGCTGATTAGTTTCCAGCAGAGTAGATGACTACTCAGGCTGTGTGTGTGTTCATGGTTTCCATCAGAGAGACAACATGGGGGGAGAAACTGTCTCTGTAGCAGCTGGTTTCTGCAAATAGTGCTCTGTAGCGCCACCTCAAGGTAAAAGCCTAAACGGTTTGTGTCCAGGATGTGTAAATAAGTCATTTTTATTTTTATAGCACCTTTCACAGATAAAAATCACCAAGTGCTTCACAAGAAAAAATAAATGACAAAAACAACTAATCAAGCACGAGTCTTAATTAGACTGGTTTACACCGAAATACAAGGAACTACAGTAGACCCCGGAGAACATGGAGAGGTCATTTCTGAGAGCAGGGAAAGAGCGACAGCATATTGCAAATCAGCATTTATGCATGTAATATTTTGTTGCAATAATTACAGTATTGATTAGAAATTCCACATTATTCCCTTTGAGAAATAAACTAACTGAATATTTTGAAAAGAGAAGTCATCTGTCTTTCTGGATCTGAAGGACAAGCAGGTATGGAGTAATCTCCATAATGTTGAGCTACTATACTCTTATAAAACAAATGTTTAGTCATTTCGAGTGGTTTCACACAAGCCACAATCTTCAACATAAATCTTTCTCTTATGAACTCCTTTGAGGGATATAGATTATTTCTTATTTTAAAATGTAGTTCTTTATATAATTGGGAATTTAAAATATTTTGTCCTAATTTTAGATACTGTAGATTTGTCAAAATGTTGTAAGATAAGTGTGCTTTTTGTTCTTCCTGGGTACATGTTGTTTATTAAATATTGATTTAAAGTTTTATTATTACATTTTATTTCTGTAATGTCCCCTTTCGTTGTCCGATAAGCTAACCCCTCCCTCCTACTTCCCCATGTCTAAAGGGATTGCTCAATCCAGCTCTCCATCCAACGGGTCCGGACTTCCCGAAACCTGAAAGGTCTTACTAAGCAGGGTTACTGAAGGTTCTGTTTAAGCTGGTGTCGGGAAATGACTTGCCTAGCCTCTGACAGCCTTCATACAAAAGTCTCGCCCTTCTTCAACTGGAGGTCTGGACAACTGAGTAGCCTATCACAGTCATCCACACTTTCAACAGTCACTTTTGTTCACGGCTGCTCATTCCCTAATTTACAACTGGCTCTTGGTATATGGGCTAGGTTGATTTTAGTAGCTCAGCACGAGCCACAAGGGCGCTGTTTTAACAAACTTGACTAAGGCAACCTATAAAAACCTCCTAAAATATCTTAGAACCAGGCAACAAGACTTTTTACCACCAATAAAAAACCAAAAATACGGTGACTCAAATAATTGAATGTCCACGATTTAACCAGAATTTTATATGCTTTCTTTAATTAGTAACGCTTTTGCAGGGGTCAATAACAGCTTAAATTCGGCAACACGTAATAATTTCAATAATAGAAATAAATCAATCACTTCAGCCTGTCTTTCCCTGATGCTGAAACTAGTGGGTTTGAAGAAGCTTTGAAGACGGAGGCTCATCCATACCTTTTATTGAAACTTTGATGTGCCGTGTTTGACGTCTGGAGGCCGCTGCGCTCCCAGCTTTGTGTGTGTTTTACGGGGTTGTTGAACCCCTGAGCGCAAACGCAGGTGCGCTGTGAGACTGGACTGTTAAAATAACCTCATGGTGAAATTCCCCATTTTCTTTGTCTTCAACCTCACTGCTTGCTAGCTTGCCACCAAAAGTTTTATAACCCTTTGTCTGCTCAAGAGTTGGGGGAGGTTTTATGACGGAGTATAACTGAGTCACAGTTGGAGCTGCGCCCCAACCTCCACTCACCACCACATCCTTTTGTCATATTGTCATTTTTGCCATAACTGCTGGTTGATCCCATTCGCACCCACTGCTGTTTTGCTTTATTTTGTTTAGTTAATTATTTTACCCCTTTTCTGTAGAACTTTGCATGTTTGAGTAGGTGAAGATTATTAAATCGGAAGAACGGATTATATCAGGCTGTGATTTAATAAATATTCACATAGATAAAGAGAAGGCGTTTCTGGGTTTATTTTAAACAGTGACATCTCCGGTAATAGTTATTAATTATTACCGAGTATTTAATGGTTGTAATTATCAAAGGCGTTGAGCCACAATTACAACACCAGAAGACATCTCTGGTCTCGATTCATAAATGAGGATTTTGGTTAAGAAATTAATTTTGTTATGATTTATTATGATCTTTAATTATAATTATTGATAAGGATTAATCAATCAATAATCATAATTCCTAACAAATGATAAGGCGATGTAGCACATATCATAAGCCAGTAACTTGCTATTCATATGTTCCTTATTTGTTTTATTTTTTCATTGAATCATTGTATCATTCTGTCCCCTGATGTTTAATCTAAAGAAACAATAATTCTTGGATGGCCCAACTCAAATCTCTAATAAAATAATTTTCTTCCTACAATAAATTGATTCTTGTCAAATCACAAGTCATTTCTCTTCACCTGTCAGTCTGATATTGATCATTAAATCAAGCTGTATTCTCTGTTTTTCATTTCTTCCTCTTGGTTTGTTACACCTTCGACAAAATAAAATAACAGAACCTTACATTACACTAGAAACACATTTACACACTAACTAAAATAGGATAAAGCATAGACTGTCGTATTGTATTATCCCACCATTAAGGTTAATGAAACAGTTTGAACCTGATCCAAGAATTTGTTCCACCCACTAGAATATTTTTAAAGTTGATGCTTTCTATGGTGTTTTTAAAATCTAAGAACTCGAAATATGCAATAATAATAAGGAATATACCTTGATAAAGATGAAGTCGTGATTCTATACATTTAGAGAATTTCTTTCCATCAAATTTCTCCACAATATGTAATCAACTGCATGATTAAACTTTCATTATTCTTTGTAGAAGGCAAACCAAAATGACATGTGACCCATTTTTCCAGTAAAACATTAATGAACTACAGTAAAATGAAAAGCAGACAGTAGAAGCCCTGGGCCCGGCCCGCTTTGAGCTCCGTCCCTGTGGAGGGGAACTGGGAGCCCTCCTTCTGCTCTGCTCCCAACACACTCACAAGCTGAATCCCACACAGACTTTCACAAACGTGCAACACTTTCCTCCATTTCAGAAACGTTCTTCCGTTAAACATTCAGTTAAACCCCATAAAGACTGAAATATACCAGCTGTCCTTTGATGGTTAAGAAAATATAAACACTTTACTTTGTATTTTCACAAAAGTCTTCCTACATCAGGCAGTTAACATTTGAGCTTCGACTAGAAAAGAAAAAATTAGATAAGACCTGGATTCTCACTTCAATTATGGATATTCTATCAATTTTCTTGCGCCTTTGTGAAGTTAATTTAGACTCCAAGGTAACTGCAGACCACTCCGCGCTCACTTGAATTTAAACTATTTAGTTGTTCAATCATAAGTCCGGACTTTGTGAGCACTGAGAGGTCCGCACCCAAGGAGTTCCTAAAAACCTGTCATTCTTCTGCGAATAAATTGTCGAAAATAAAGAACAAAAGAAAAGAAAACTCGGATAAACAGATGTTAGTGACAACAAACCCACATGTATGACAGACGCATTCAACACAGACACATAGACAGACATTTAGAAAGACATTTAGACAGACATATGCTGGCATTTGACATTCATACGTTTCTTTTTACATCATATAAGCACTTTTCTCCCCACGTTTGTGTGTGTCTGTTCTTTGGTTCATGTGTGTGCGCTCGTGTATGTGTGTTATACGTTTGTGTGCTATGCATACGTGTTCGTGTGTGGTACTGTGTGTCATACAAGCGCACTCCTTTCGTCATACGCTGGTGGATAGCAAGACACGGCACACACACACACACACACACACACACACACACACACACACACACACACACACACACACACACACTACTTGCAACCGGAAATTGAATCCCCCGAGCCTGCAGAGAACCTTTCCTTTTTTTTTTGCTTTCAGTCAGTTTCTACCAGAAACTGCTTCCCTATTTAAAGTATGCTTTAATTCTAATCAAAGTGCATAATTTTCTTTAGGTCTGTCCCTCAAGAGTGAATAAAAATTCAAGCAGTTATTTTAACCAGTAACAGCTGTATCTATATTTGACTCAGGCATAACTCAACATTTAACCCATAGGAACCATAAAACAAATTAAAGCAAAGCTTCTGGTGCCACCACAAAAGCTCATTGGTTGTTTTAACACAGCAAATGAAACACCCTATTCCTGTTTGTGAGGAGTTCAGGGATGGACTGCCTTCACTTCCGGTCCCTGTCTCCGGGGAGCTCGAGAAAGAGAACAAAAGTTTGTGAGGATGCTGGTTTTCACACCGACTTCCTCGACCTTCTCAAGAAGTAGAGTCTCCGTCTGTGTTTCTTGACCACAGTGTCTGCATGTACAGTTCTGGATAAATCCTCAGTGATGTGAATGAAGAGGAAGTTGAAGCTACAGACCTGCTCCACCTTAGCATTATTATTATAGATGCCTCCACACTGTCTCCTAATGTCCTCTATCATCTCCTTAGTTTTGCTGACGTTCAGAGAGAGGTTATTTTCCTGGTCAGTGATTTCACCTCATGGTGGTGGAAAGTATATGAACGCCAACTGTTAGACAAGTCCATGACAAGCCACCGTTTTTTTCCCTGTTGCCTGGACAGACAAAATGAGGCCTGTGATGTGGATGAAGTCCTGTGGCCTGACCCACTACGGAGAAATAATGCTGTGGCTGAGTAATGCACTTAGGCATATGTAGGCCTGCTGTATAGAAGTGCTAAATGCACAGGATTTCTGTTTTGCAACATGCATTTAGCCTACAGTGAACAATAAACATTTATTTCTATGCTCCTGAACATTGTATTTTCTAT